GAGAGCAGATCATTAACCAGACTGGACCCCTGGTTCCTGTCACTGACTCAGACCCTAACTGGTCTGGTTCACTGTGCCTGTGTGGCTGATGCAGGTCTACTGGGAGGCCACTGGTGAACCTCGGTTCGTTCCTAGAGAGATAACAGCTTATTGCTGGCAGACCGACCGAGCCAGGCTGTCTGGGTCTGAGCCCAGCGACCTTTGTCCGCAGCCTACCTGGCAGAGCAGCTCCAGGACGGACGAGGCGCAGTTGGCGTATCCGTAGTAGTCAAAGTTCTCCATGATCTGGTAGTATTTCGCCATCAGCTTCTGGTCTTTCTCATAATCACAGCAACCGAACTCCTTGTACATGACGCAGAACTGCAGCTCCCTGAGCGGGCGGAAGGGCGGCTTGAAGTCCAGACACTGCGGGTGCAGCGCTACAGGTGGGACCAGGACCAGCAGGACCACCAGGAGGACCAGGACGCACAGGCAGCCCGTCGGAGGGAGCCACAGCCGCCCAGGGACCGTGGTGTAGCGCCGCTGCATCGTGGCGTTGGCTGCAGAACATGGAAGACGGACCGGAGCAGATGAGCTTCCCGTCTGGACTTCGCTCCGACCCCGGGCTCTGACGTAGCGCCGCCGGAGCGGAGCAGCAGTCCGGGCGGAGGGCGGCTGGTCCCGGCGGCGACACCAGCTCCTCCTCGGTGCACGCTGCTGCTCGCCTGGAACCTCATTTAGCTTCTGTTACATCCTTAAATCCCCCCAAGGAGGAAAAACCCAGTCTGGGTCTGTCTGAGTGTCATAAATGCTGCAGAGTCCTGCAGGTCTGCTGCCGGCCAGCAGGGGGCGCCAGCGTCCAGTGTGCCCTGATCCCTCCTGTTTCTATGGACGTGTTTCAGTCCGAATAAAACACAGATCAACACAGAAACACATCACAGTGGAAGCACAGCAGTGATCTCACACTTCTACCGTCACAACTCTTCAGTTAGTTTTTATTTGGGACCCACAACTAAGTTCTGTTTGACAGAACTTTTTAGAATTTCATTTGTGTTCAGGTGTGGCATTTTTTGTATTTTTAAGCCGTCTGTATGCACATTTACCACCTGTTGATCATCACAGAGGGTTTCAGAGTCCAGAACATCTGCTTTGTTTCAGATGCACGTTCAAACCTGCTCAACACTTCATGCCAAGCCGGGTTCATGGACTGGGCCGTGGACCTCGGCTTCCTTCTCTGTGCAGCGTCTGATCGCCACCTGAACCTGCAGCGCTGTTCTCACTCCCACACATGGCTGATTATCTACATCACCCACGTGCACACCTCAACTCTCCTCCTTTTCTGCACCCACAACAACAACAACTACCACCAGAGTGGTCCCTCTATCTGCCCTCTTCTGTCCATAACAGCCCAACGGGACACTCTGGCCTCTGGCCACTACGTCAGTAGTCTGACTGGTGAAATAAATGATGGACGCCTCTGCCTGTGACACCTGAAAATATAAGATATAAATACACATCACATGTTATTTTGACCATACTGTCAGATCATTTTTTAATGTTGTTTATGTGAAGGAGATGATACCTGCTGCTTCACATTCAAATATTCCCAAGAACAGCGTTGAACAGAAGTTTATGTATACGGCTGTATGCTGAGGAACTGCACTGCCCTTTTCTCAGTTGGTGTGTGTGTGAGTGTGTGTGAGTGTGTGTGTGTGTGTGTGTGAGTGTGTGAGTGTGTGTGTGTGTGAGTGAGTGTGACTGCAGCCCTCAGGTTACCCTGCAGCAGGAACTGATTGAGCTGAAGTGATTCTGTCCACCTGTGCTGCAGAAGGCTGATCCACCAATCAGGAGGCACCAGGAGGATATGAAACGCCAGCAGCCCAGCAGTGGCAGCGAGCTGTTTCCAGCTCTGCTCATGTGCCTCTCTGTAACTTTCGGTTGTTGTTACTTCTGTGGACCTGCTGAGGCACTAGATCCTGTGTGAACCCTGCACAGCTCAGGTTTGCTGTGATACAGGGCGTCCTGAGTTCCAGTGACTGCTGCAGCTCGTATTTGTCTGTGATGGAACGACTGAAACCTCAAAACACAAACAAACCATAATACGTTTTGGTTCTTTCACAGGTTTATTGTAGGTCTTCTGAGGTATTCTGTATGTTTGATAACCACAAATAACAAGTTAGCTTTCATACTTTCTGTCATAAACAAGTGATATATAAATAGGGACCATCAAACACACAGAGATACCAGACACTAAACATGGACAATACTTTCTTTTATTTGCTTTCTAAAAACAGTACGAGTGAACGCTGTTATGCAGATGTTAAGTGGGGGTCAAGGACGAGGGACCCATAACATTTACAACTGTCTTATCTCTATGACACTGCAAACACCATAAAGGTATAAAATGCTCAGGGTCAGACGGATTGATTGCTGAACCTGCTTTGACCCTTTAGCTAAAACTTTTAAATCCTTGACTCATAAGAGAGGGCTGCACGTGGATCAGTGGTTAGCACCGT